CACGCGGCGATGTTGTCGGTTGACCCAATGTAGAGAAGATCGTCCACATAGACGATTAATAGGACGTAATCGCCTCCTTTTGTGAGGCGATACATGCCCTGGTCATGCGGGAGTTGTTTGAAGCCGATGCGAATGAGGCGGGCGTGTAGGTACTGCTGCCACAGTCGCGGTGCCTGCTTGATCCCATAGAGTGATTTGAGTAGTTGACACACTCGGTTGGGTTCGCCGTGGGAGCCGTGCGGGAGTTCAACGAAGATTTCTGCATCCACAGGTGCGTAGAGAAATGCGTTCGCAACGTCGATCTGTCGCAATTTCTTTTTCTTCATGGCGGCGACGGCGATGAGGATTCGGAGTGAGGTGTGGCGACTGACCGGAGCGAAGGTTTCGGTGTAATCTCTTCCGTGCTCCTGGTCGAAGCCACGTACGACCCAGCGGGCTTTGAATTTGTCGATGGTGCCATCAGCTTTCGTCTTCACACGGAAGACCCATTTTCCGGTAAGAATGTTTTTATTTTGAGTTACGCCGATGGGAACAATTTTCCAGGTGTTGCGCTCCTCCAGTGCCTTCAGCTCTTTGTCCATAGCTTCACGCCATTTCTCCCTGTGTTCCCCCCCCAGAGCCTGCTGAACCGTCGCAGGCTCCTCAGGAATGCCGGCGCCATGGACTGCGGTGACGAGACCAAGGATTTGCAGCCCAGTCTGTGAGTATCGAGGGAGTTCTGGATCCTCGGGATAAGCTGCTTCGTCTCCCGTTTCTGGGTCGGGCATGAAATTTGGCCCTACCCTTTCTGCTTCGTTGGTGTTGACTGTCACAGGTGTTATGTAACCATCGTCGGCGAAACGGTAGAAGATTTCGGCGTTGTTACTGTCGCGAGGATTATCCTCATCCATGGGCACGTCGACGGAGCAGTATGGGAGAGGTCCGGCTTCTTCTGAGGCGTTGTCGACGTTCTGTTCATCCCAGTCTGCTTCGTCCGCTGCTGACGCGAAGGCTCGGTCACCACGAAAACCACTGGTGAGGTCCCGATTCTCGTGCAAGTTGGCGAGGTATGTCTGAAGGGTGAGTCTTTCGTAGAAGATCACGTCACGTGCTGCTACTGTTTCCTTTGTGTGGACGTCGAAGATTTTCCATGCGTTGTAATTTTTCTCGATGCCGAGGTGTAGTCCCCACTGTGCCCGTTGCGAAAATCTTCCCGCTCGTGCTTCTGGGGGTCTGTACTGTACCATGCACCCGAAAACTCGTAACATTTTCGTGCTGCCCTGCTTCCCTGTCCACAGCAGATGCGGTGATGCGTTGTTCGGGAGTGACGACGACGACAACAAGTTGTGCAGCATGACAGCGTGGTCCATTGCTGCTGGCCACTGGTGGTTGGGTAGCCGCATGCCACGTAACAGTTTGCGCATGCTGTTCTGCAGGGTCCTGTTCAGTCGTTCTGCAACACCTTGCTGCTGATGTGCGTAGGGAAGGGAGAGGAGTTGCTTGATCCCCCTTTCCGCCAAGAACTGCTTGAAGCGCTGAGAGGTGTACTCGCCACCTCCGTCTGACTGGAAATTTTTCAGTTGTGTTCCAGACTCTCTCTCTGCTATCGGTAGCCAGGCGGCGAATGCTGCGAGCGCCATGTCGCGGCTGGGTAGGTTGCGATGCCAGACGTATCGAGTAGCAGCGTCGATGAAGGTGATGGTGTAGTTGTAGTTGACTTGTCCTGGTTCGCGATTGTAGAGGATGTCGCTGTAGACTTTTTCGAGTGGTGCGTACGCTGGAGCGCTCGGGTTGTGATGTGAAGCAAACGGTCGATGAGGTAAGTCAGCTTCGGGACATATAAGGCAAGTCCCTCGTGCCTTCTGGAGTTCTCTGCCATCGGGTAGAAGTAGAGAGTCTTTGTCGAGGACTCCTGCTCTTATCGTGTTATTCAAAACTGTGTTGCTTGGATGTCCTGTGCGTGCGTGCCAGATCTCTTCAGAGGCGCGGTGTCCGGGTGAGCGCTGATATGCGTCGGAGTTGGAGTAAAAGCTGGCGACGAGGTTGGCGCTTCGGTGGACTTCACGCTGAGTCGGATTCAGCTGTTGCGCGAGTGTTGGTGGTGCTTCGTCGACTGTGACTGGTGTCGTTGTTCCTGCTGCTGCTGATGTTGTTGCTGCTGTCGATGTTGTTGCTGCTGCCGATGTTGTTGTCTCTGCTTCTTGTTGAATTGTTGCTAACGCTCTTGTTCGTTCTGCTTCAGGGATAGTGTGGGAGTACCAGAAACCTCCCGGGCTGAAGTCGGGATCGAGATCCGGAGGGTGTGTCCATTCAGCAAAGTTCACAATGGCGTCGCTGTCTGCAGTGCCGAGGTCGGGGGCGAAGTCGAGGACGAAGACGTTGTTCTTCAGCACTGCTTTCCCGATGTAGAGACCGCCTCTTCCGTGGTAAAGCTTGAACTCCTGGGTCGTGCTGTCGGCTTCCAGATGAATTCCTTTCGCCATCAACTGGCTAACGCTCAGTAAGTTGTAGCCGAGTCCTTCAGCGATGAGTACCTTAGACATGTGCAGTATGACATTTGTTTCTCTTGACTGAAGCTGTACCACTCCTTGTCTTCGTGTGCGCAGGTTTTGGTTGTTGGCAACCGTGATGATCACTTCCCGTTGGAGTCGATGTTCGCGTTGTACGAAACGCCCGGACGAGCACATGTGTTGCCCGCAGCAACTGTCCAAGAACCAGGTGTCTTGGCCGGACGGTTCACTTTGAGCGATAGCGGCGTAGGTCGGATTTGGATGGAGTGATTCGCGACGAGGCGTCCTGTTGTCGAGCTCCTCTTCCGGTGAGTAATGGGGTGGTGACTCTGTTATGCAAGAGTCGTTTATCTTGACCATGCAGTTGACTATATGTCTTGCTCCTTGTGCAGGTTGTCCAGTTGAGGTCGTTGAAGCTTGAATCGTGGTTGTCGAACTTGCTTGTGTCGAAGCAACTTGTGTGCTTGAAGGCCGCAGTTGTCGCTGTGGTGTTGTCTGTCGAGACGGGCAGTGCGAGCGTGGGTGTCCTGATGTCTTGCAGATGTGACAAAATGGAGGTACTAACTTCGGCTGCTGCTGTCGATTGTTGTAGTAGTTGTGTCGTCGCTGAGTATGGAAAGCAAACTCCGGTGCTAATGTCCTTTTCTTGTGTCTTTCTTCTTGCAGGTCCATATCCTGCTGTTCCGCGTGAATTTCTGCGCAAAGTGCCGCTTCGGAGATCCTCCCGTGTGCTCGAAGAATTGCTTTGGTGGCGCGCCACTGAGGACCGAGGCCGCCTATGACGACTGTTACGAAGGCGTCTTCAGAGATTGACCCTCCACATCGAAGAAGCTTGTCGCGCAATTCGCGACATCGGCTGATATACGCCAACCCTTTTTCTCCTGGTTTCATTTCCACTGTTGTCAGCTGCGCCATTAACCTGCTCTGGTTTACACTGTCTGTTGCCTGGTACAGGTTCTTCAGATGGCCGTACGCGAGTTCCGCCGAGTTGCCGAAGTTCCGGTAGGAGCGAATGTTCTGCTGCTGGGTTGGTGTGATGTTTCTCAGTAGAATAGTATACGCCATCATGGATTGATACGTATACTGCTGCTTTTCATACTGTGTCCCGTTTGCTGGATACTGCAGGGATCCGTCGAAGAAGCCAAGTATCTGCGCGCCCTCCATCATCAACTCGAATTCAAAGGACCAGGTAAAGAAGTCCTTTCCGTCGAAAGGTCTTGACGTCTGTAGTTTCAGAACATGCGCGAACTGCGACTGTACTTGTAAGGCATCCATTGGTTTGTCTTGCGCAGGTGGAGGTTGAGGCAGGAAGCTGATCGACCCGCGTTCGTACGGGGCGAAGGTGGGTTGCTGCTGTTGATTCCCTCGCGCATATGACGACCCGTCAAGGCTCATGGGTGTCGCTCCGTTGTTGCTGTTGTGTGTCTGTGCAGGTCCCGACTGCTGGTGTTGCTCGTAGAAGGACATGAAGGAGAAAAATTTCTCCATCATGTTCTGGTCGAAGTCAGAAGGATGGTTCGTGGGGGTCTCGGTCGACGTTCCCCTTGGTCTTGCTGCCGTGCCTTCCTCTGTCTGCAGGCCAGAGGCTGGTGGTGGAGTAGGAGTAGTCCCCGAGGAGCCATTAGGGGAGCTCCTTTCCTTGTTTGTTGCCATGTCTTGTAATGATAAAAAAAGTTAGAGTTTTCCCCTGTCTGCTCTCATACCATGTTGGGCTGAGAAAATAGCCCTTAGGATCTTTGCAGAGGAGAACTCTTGGGTAGAAAACTTGTAATAGCGGAAGCGTTTGATGAGGATTGTGAACCGACCTTGCACTGGTGTGTGAGAGCAAAGTAGATTGAATTAAACAAGCAAATACAAGGATTTATATAAGAGTACAGGGAATACGAATAGATAGGTAGATAACTGTATTGCTGTTGCGGTTCGATACAGTGCGACTCGGGCAACTGCTCTGTAACGAGTCAGTTGTGTGTCCTTAACTGTCGCGCTGTGATTGTCGAGTCAAAGGTCAGCGACCTTTGACTTTCTCGTAACCTCCAGGCGGTTACCCTAACCTCCGAGGTTGACTCGATGCTTCGATTGGGACTGCTTCGCTTGGTGCCTTGGGTTTTGATACGACAGAAGCGCACTTAGGACTTATTGTTTCCAACACATATGACTATATACTAAAGAGATTGTACATCTGTGTTTGGATGTGAAGCAACTCGTTACAACCTGGATCGGCAACCACAATACCACTTTACACCCCTGGGAACCCTTAAGCTCTCAGCCTGCGCCCTTCAAACCCATTTAAGCTTCTAGGCTCCACTCGATACCCCTCAGAACCCCTCAAACCCCTTTGGAACTCCTCTGAACCCCTTGGCAATGACATATATTTCGCGGGACGAGGCCCGGGTGGCCTTGGGGCGAAGGCGCGTCACTGATGAGAAGAGAGGTCTGCACGCTGCCACGTAGGCTGGGGGGAAGTCAAGGGGGGAGGGGGTTGAGAGGGGGATGTTTGCAAGCCAACGGTGGTTAATCGGGACAGAAGGTAAGGTGGCTGGGGACCGTTGCTGGGAGAGAGGGAAGGAGAGAGGAAGGAGGGGCAGGAAGAGAGCATGTGGAAACAGGGTGCATGGCATGAGAAAGCAGCAAGCATTGCAAGTCACGCCTCGGTGTGCCCTCACCGTTCACCTCCTCACATGGGGTGTTGCCACTCTCCCTCCCACCAATACCTGCGGCATCCCCATACTGCCCACCACTGCCCACCACTGCCCACCACTGCCCACCACCGCCCACCACCGTACCTGGAGTGTCGTCACCCTCCAGCAGCTTCACCACCATGTGTCCCCCCACTGCCAGCACTCCCCCCTGCGCTGCTGCCCCTCCTTCCCCACACCCCTGTGCTGAACGCCCCCCCACTTGTTGAGCTCCTTGCACGCGTGCACTTGGTCTCTCTACTACTGCTGCTACACACTCCGTCCCTGCTGCTGCCCTCTCTGCTCCTGCCTCTCTTGCTGCTTCTCCTGCGGGTTCCCTGGCACCTGTACCTCTGCTCCCACCCCCACCAGTGTCAGGATAGGCTGGATCTGGATGTGAGCGGTTGTGGGTTGATGGGTGTGGGTGTGCAGGTCGTGCGTCAAAGGATTCTGGTGGGGATGGGTGAAAGGTGTGCAGGCCTGAATGCAACAAGTGGGAGCCGTTTTGTTGTGAGTGCGTGTGGTGGTGAGAGTGGGTGCTGTGCGGTTCCGAGTGCTTGTGGAAGGGTTGGGCTGCGAGGGCGAGAGCGCGGAGGGCGAGGGAGTGGGAGGTAGCGACATCAGAGGGGGAGGCGCCAGAGGTGGATGGGAACATGTCTGATAGCAGCGTGGTGAAGCGGGACGAAGGAGAGGAGGAGTGGGGCTGGAGGGGGGGAAAGGGGAGGGAAGGGAGGGATGGGGAGGGATGGGGAGGGATGGGGAGGGATGGGGAGGGATGGAATGGGGATGGGCATTGCCATTGTTGGGCAGGTATGAACGGCACTGTGCCGCATTGCCATTGTTGGGCCGGTATGAACGGCACTGTGCCGCATTGCCATTGTTGGGCCGGTATGAACGGCACTGTGCCGCATTGCCATTGTTGGGCCGGAACGAACATGCGTGCGAACGAGGTGAGTGCGAGGTGAGGGGAGAGGTGAAGGAGGGAGAGGGTAGCAGCAAGGAGCAAGGGGGGGCCTGCCTGGAGAGAGGAGAGGAGGCGCAGCAGGAGGAGCGGCGAGAGGGCCAAGGCGTCTGCCTGGATGACCCGCACTCGCCTGTCACACCACCGCTGGGGCACTGCTGTCGGCTGATGGGCATGGGGGGGAATGGGGGGGGAATGGGGGGGGAAGGGGGAAAGGCGGGTGAAGGGGACATGGTGGGAGGGGGGTTGTGGGGTGGGGTGGGGAAAGAGGGGATTAGTACAAGGAGCTCTGAGACCGCACATGCCGCAAGGTAGCACGGCATGCACCTGAATGCCGCAAGGTAGCACGGCATGCACCTGAATGCCGGAAGGTAGCACGGCATGCACCTGAATGCCGGAAGGTAGCACGGCATGCACCTGAATGTCGGAAGGTAGCAGGGCATGCACCTGAATGTCGGAAGGTAGCAGGGCATGCACCTGAATGTCGGAAGGTAGCAGGGCATGCACCTGAATGTCGGAAGGTAGCAGGGCATGCACCTGAATGTCGGAAAGTAGCAGGGTATGCACCTGCATGTCGGAAGGTAGCAGGGCATGCACCTGAATGTCGGAAGGTAGCACGGCATGCACCTGAATGTCGGAAGGTAGCAGGGCATGCACCTGAATGTCGGAAGGTAGCAGGGCATGCACCTGAATGTCGGAAGGTAGCAGGGTATGCACCTGCATGTCGGAAGGTAGCAGGGCATGCACCTGAATGTCGGAAGGTAGCAGGGTATGCACCTGCATGTCGGAAGGTAGCAGGGCATGCACCTGAATGTCGGAAGGTAGCAGGGTATGCACCTGCATGTCGGAAGGTAGCAGGGCATGCACCTGAATGTCGGAAGGTAGCAGGGCATGCACCTGAATGTCGGAAGGTAGCAGGGCATGCACCTGAATGTCGGAAGGTAGCAGGGTATGCACCTGCATGTCGGAAGGTAGCAGGGCATGCACCTGAATGTCGGAAGGTAGCAGGGCATGCACCTGAATGTCGGAAGGTAGCAGGGCATGCACCTGAATGTCGGAAGGTAGCAGGGCATGCACCTGAATGTCGGAAAGTAGCACGGTATGCACCTGCATGTCGGAAGGTAGCAGGGCATGCACCTGAATGTCGGAAGGTAGCACGGCATGCACCTGAATGTCGGAAGGTAGCAGGGCATGCACCTGAATGTCGGAAGGTAGCAGGGCATGCACCTGAATGTCGGAAGGTAGCAGGGCATGCACCTGAATGTCGGAAGGTAGCAGGGCATGCACCTGAATGTCGGAAGGTAGCAGGGTATGCACCTGCATGTCGGAAGGTAGCAGGGCATGCACCTGAATGTCGGAAGGTAGCAGGGTATGCACCTGCATGTCGGAAGGTAGCAGGGCATGCACCTGAATGTCGGAAGGTAGCAGGGCATGCACCTGAATGTCGGAAGGTAGCAGGGCATGCACCTGAATGTCGGAAGGTAGCAGGGCATGCACCTGAATGTCGGAAGGTAGCAGGGTATACACCTGAATGTCGGAAGGTAGCAGGGCATGCACCTGAATGTCGGAAGGTAGCAGGGCATGCACCTGAATGTCGGAAGGTAGCAGGGTATGCACCTGCATGTCGGAAGGTAGCAGGGCATGCACCTGAATGTCGGAAGGTAGCAGGGCATGCACCTGAATGTCGGAAGGTAGCAGGGCATGCACCTGAATGTCGGAAGGTAGCAGGGCATGCACCTGAATGTCGGAAGGTAGCAGGGTATGCACCTGCATGTCGGAAGGTAGCAGGGCATGCACCTGAATGTCGGAAGGTAGCAGGGCATGCACCTGAATGTCGGAAGGTAGCAGGGCATGCACCTGAATGTCGGAAGGTAGCAGGGCATGCACCTGAATGTCGGAAGGTAGCAGGGCATGCACCTGAATGTCGGAAGGTAGCAGGGTATGCACCTGCATGTCGGAAGGTAGCAGGGCATGCACCTGAATGTCGGAAGGTAGCAGGGTATGCACCTGCATGTCGGAAGGTAGCAGGGCATGCACCTGAATGTCGGAAGGTAGCAGGGCATGCACCTGAATGTCGGAAGGTAGCAGGGCATGCACCTGAATGTCGGAAGGTAGCAGGGTATGCACCTGCATGTCGGAAGGTAGCAGGGCATGCACCTGAATGTCGGAAGGTAGCAGGGTATGCACCTGCATGTCGGAAGGTAGCAGGGCATGCACCTGAATGTCGGAAGGTAGCAGGGCATGCACCTGAATGTCGGAAGGTAGCAGGGCATGCACCTGAATGTCGGAAGGTAGCAGGGCATGCACCTGAATGTCGGAAAGTAGCACGGTATGCACCTGCATGTCGGAAGGTAGCAGGGCATGCACCTGAATGTCGGAAGGTAGCACGGCATGCACCTGAATGTCGGAAGGTAGCAGGGCATGCACCTGAATGTCGGAAGGTAGCAGGGCATGCACCTGAATGTCGGAAGGTAGCAGGGCATGCACCTGAATGTCGGAAGGTAGCAGGGCATGCACCTGAATGTCGGAAGGTAGCAGGGTATGCACCTGCATGTCGGAAGGTAGCAGGGCATGCACCTGAATGTCGGAAGGTAGCAGGGTATGCACCTGCATGTCGGAAGGTAGCAGGGCATGCACCTGAATGTCGGAAGGTAGCAGGGCATGCACCTGAATGTCGGAAGGTAGCAGGGCATGCACCTGAATGTCGGAAGGTAGCAGGGCATGCACCTGAATGTCGGAAGGTAGCAGGGTATACACCTGAATGTCGGAAGGTAGCAGGGCATGCACCTGAATGTCGGAAGGTAGCAGGGTATGCACCTGCATGTCGGAAGGTAGCAGGGCATGCACCTGAATGTCGGAAGGTAGCAGGGCATGCACCTGAATGTCGGAAGGTAGCAGGGCATGCACCTGAATGTCGGAAGGTAGCAGGGCATGCACCTGAATGTCGGAAAGTAGCAGGGTATGCACCTGCATGTCGGAAGGTAGCAGGGCATGCACCTGAATGTCGGAAGGTAGCACGGCATGCACCTGAATGTCGGAAGGTAGCAGGGCATGCACCTGAATGTCGGAAGGTAGCAGGGCATGCACCTGAATGTCGGAAGGTAGCAGGGTATGCACCTGCATGTCGGAAGGTAGCAGGGCATGCACCTGAATGTCGGAAGGTAGCAGGGTATGCACCTGCATGTCGGAAGGTAGCAGGGCATGCACCTGAATGTCGGAAGGTAGCAGGGCATGCACCTGAATGTCGGAAGGTAGCAGGGCATGCACCTGAATGTCGGAAGGTAGCAGGGCATGCACCTGAATGTCGGAAGGTAGCAGGGTATGCACCTGCATGTCGGAAGGTAGCAGGGCATGCACCTGAATGTCGGAAGGTAGCAGGGCATGCACCTGAATGTCGGAAGGTAGCAGGGCATGCACCTGAATGTCGGAAGGTAGCAGGGCATGCACCTGAATGTCGGAAGGTAGCAGGGCATGCACCTGAATGTCGGAAGGTAGCAGGGCATGCACCTGAATGTCGGAAGGTAGCAGGGCATGCACCTGCATGTCGGAAGGTAGCAGGGCATGCACCTGAATGTCGGAAGGTAGCAGGGTATGCACCTGCATGTCGGAAGGTAGCAGGGCATGCACCTGAATGTCGGAAGGTAGCAGGGCATGCACCTGCATGTCGGAAGGTAGCAGGGCATGCACCTGAATGTCGGAAGGTAGCAGGGCATGCACCTGAATGTCGGAAGGTAGCAGGGCATGCACCTGAATGTCGGAAGGTAGCAGGGCATGCACCTGAATGTCGGAAGGTAGCAGGGCATGCACCTGAATGTCGGAAGGTAGCAGGGCATGCACCTGAATGTCGGAAGGTAGCAGGGCATGCACCTGAATGTCGGAAGGTAGCAGGGCATGCACCTGAATGTCGGAAGGTAGCAGGGTATGCACCTGCATGTCGGAAGGTAGCAGGGCATGCACCTGAATGTCGGAAGGTAGCAGGGCATGCACCTGAATGTCGGAAGGTAGCAGGGCATGCACCTGAATGTCGGAAGGTAGCAGGGCATGCACCTGAATGTCGGAAGGTAGCAGGGCATGCACCTGAATGTCGGAAGGTAGCAGGGCATGCACCTGAATGTCGGAAGGTAGCAGGGCATGCACCTGAATGTCGGAAGGTAGCAGGGCATGCACCTGAATGTCGGAAGGTAGCAGGGCATGCACCTGAATGTCGGAAGGTAGCAGGGCATGCACCTGAATGTCGGAAGGTAGCAGGGCATGCACCTGAATGTCGGAAGGTAGCAGGGCATGCACCTGAATGTCGGAAGGTAGCAGGGCATGCACCTGAATGTCGGAAGGTAGCAGGGCATGCACCTGAATGTCGGAAGGTAGCAGGGCATGCACCTGAATGTCGGAAGGTAGCAGGGCATGCACCTGAATGTCGACGCCCACCACACAGCCACCTTGACTCATGGGGCCCAGGGCCTGGCATGCCACCTGTGATGTGATGTGATGTGATGTGATGTGATGTGATGTGATGTGATGTGATGTGATGTGATGTGATGTGATGTGATGTGTTGTGATGTGGTGTGGTGTGGTGTGGTGTGGTGTGGTGTGGTGTGGTGTGGTGTGGTGTGGTGTGGTGTGATGTGATGTGATGTGATGTGATGTGATGTGATGTGATGTGATGTGATGTGGTGCGCGGCAGACACGTGAGCACATGGAAGGCATGAAGGGCATGGTCGCACGCACGCAGGCTGATGGCATTATTATTTGAGGCGTTGAGGCAGTGTAGGGGGCAGGCATTATTTGAGGCGTTGTGAATTCTGAGGCATGTGTGAAGGATGGGGCAAGTGGACGATAGCACACCGCTGCTCATACCATTGCTGTGCTGCCATGCCGCATGAGTCGCATGCGGCAGCAACAGAAATAGAAGCATGGGCACATGCCCCCCATGGCAGTACACACCATGATATGAACGAACGGCCATAATGTGGCTATTCAGGCATGCATCGGTGATGCCCCCACCACCCTTCCCTATCACCCATCCCCAGCACCCTTCCCTATCACCCATCCCCACCACCCTTCCCTATCACCCATCCCCACCACCCTTCCCTATCACCCATCCCCACCACCCTTCCCTGTCACCCACCCCCACCACCCTTCCCTATCACCCATCCCCACCACCCTTCCCTATCACCCATCCCCACCACCCTTCCCTATCACCCATCCCCACCACCCTTCCCTATCACCCATCCCCACCACCCTTCCCTATCACCCATCCCCACCACCCTTCCCTATCACCCATCCCCACCACCCTTCCCTATCACCCATCCCCACCACCCTTCCCTATCACCCATCCCCACCACCCTTCCCTATCACCCACCCCCACCACCCTTCCCTATCACCCATCCCCACCACCCTTCCCTATCACCTATCCCCACCACCCTTCCCTATCACCCATCCCCACCACCCTTCCCTGTCACCCACCCCCACCACCCTTCCCTATCACCCATCCCCACCACCCTTCCCTATCACCCATCCCCACCACCCTTCCCTATCACCCATCCCCACCACCCTTCCCTATCACCCATCCCCACCACCCTTCCCTATCACCCATCCCCACCACCCTTCCCTATCACCCATCCCCACCACCCTTCCCTATCACCCATCCCCACCACCCTTCCCTATCACCCATCCCCACCACCCTTCCCTATCACCCATCCCCACCACCCTTCCCTATCACCCATCCCCACCACCCTTCCCTATCACCCATCCCCACCACCCTTCCCTATCACCCATCCCCACCACCCTTCCCTGTCACCCACCCCCACCACCCTTCCCTATCACCCATCCCCACCACCCTTCCCTATCACCCATCCCCACCACCCTTCCCTATCACCCATCCCCACCACCTTTCCCTATCACCCATCCCCACCACCCTTCCCTATCACCCATCCCCACCACCCTTCCCTATCACCCATCCCCACCACCCTTCCCTATCACCCATCCCCACCACCCTTCCTTATCACCCATCCCCACCACCCTTCCCTATCACCCATCCCCACCACCCTTCCCTATCACCCATCCCCACCACCCTTCCCTATCACCCATCCCCACCACCCTTCCCTGTCACCCACCCCCACCACCCTTCCCTATCACCCATCCCCACCACCCTTCCCTATCACCCATCCCCACCACCCTTCCCAATCACCCATCCCCACCACCCTTCCCTATCACCCACCCCACCACCCTTCCCTATCACCCATCCCCACCACCCTTCCCTATCACCCATCCCCACCACCCTTCCCTATCACCCATCCCCACCACCCTTCCCTATCACCCATCCCCACCACCCTTCCCTATAACCCATCCCCACCACCCTTCCCTATCACCCATCCCCACCACCCTTCCCTATCACCCATCCCCACCACCCTTCCCTATCACCCATCCCCACCACCCTTCTCTATCACCCATCCCCACCACCCTTCCCTATCACCCATCCCCACCACCCTTCCCTATCACCCATCCCCACCACCCTTCCCTATCACCCATCCCCACCACCCTTCCCTATCACCCATCCCCACCACCCTTCCCTATCACCCATCCCCACCACCCTTCCCTATCACCCATCCCCACCACCCTTCCCTATCACCCATCCCCACCACGTGCCTGCAGCCATGCCCCACCACGTGCCTGCAGCCATGCCCCCGGGCAGCATCCCAGATCCAGCACGGCGCCTCCCTTCCTTATCACCGCGTGCCGCCGCTGCACCTCCTGCAGCTGGCGGTGGGGAGGGAGGGGGAGAAGCGCAGGCGGAGGGGAAGAAGGGGGGGCAGGGGGAAGAACGGGGGAATGGGTTGTGTATGCTCTGCACCTCCTGCAGCTGTGGGGCAGAGGAGGAGTGGGGAGAGGGGAGAGGATAGGGTGGGAGGAAGGGATGGGTGAGGGATGGACGCGATAAGGGGAATATGGAGGGAGGGGGAGAAGCGCAGGCGGAGGGGAAGAAGGGGGGGCAGGGGAAAGAACGGGGGAATGGGTTGTGTATGCTCTGCACCTCCTGCAGCTGTGGGGCAGAGGAGGAGTGGGGAGAGGGGAGAGGATAGGGTGGGAGGAAGGGATGGGTGAGGGATGGACGCGATAAGGGGAATATGGAGGGACGGCTGTAACGCCTGTGGGCTGTGTTAAGGGCACTCCGCTGCGCCAAATAACACCCTCGTTTTGACCTAGTGGGTAGCGAGGTGTTACATTGGTATCAGAGCCTAGGGTTCGAATCCCGGCTGGACCACACTTTCCGCCTTTGGCGAGAACTGAAGTGAGGTTGTAACCAGCTCGAACTCAGCGAACGATCCTCCGCTGGCCTGAACAACCAGCGAAGTCGCAGCTAGCAGCACTGCGAAATCTAGGTCCCAGCGGCAGGGGGGCGACTTCCTGAAGTACAGGGCCAACGGGGACGTTGGCACCAGGGGGGGACGAGTGTAACGCCTGTGGGCTGTGCTAAGGACACTCCGCTGCGCCAAATAACACCCTCGTTTTGACCTAGTGGGTAGCGAGGTGTTACAACGGCAGAGGCGTGGGGGAGACACGCTGCGAAATGCGGATCCGGTGCAGAAATTTGCGCTCTGCATCGGCGGAAGGAGGGTGCCCGCGGGGCAGGCGTGGGAGCGGGAGAGAGCGGCGGAGGCAGGGGAAAGCGGGGAAATGCGGGCGGTTCCGTCCGCCCCCGCGCATGCAGTCCGCGGTGCGAGCGCGCTTAGCACGCGGCAGGTGCTCCAACGCTATTTGCAAACGCGGGGGACACTGGTCGACGCGTGACCTCCATGTCTCGCGGCGCCGAGCACGGGGCGCGCGAGAGCGCACCTTGAACGCGGAGCGCGCTACGTAGCCGAGGCGGCGCGCCTCCTTGAAAAAGAAGTCCTGCGGCGTGAAGCGCGCCATGGCCGCTTCGCATGCCGCCGGGAAACGCGGCGTCGAGTGGATGTAGGCGTAGGTAGTACGCTCGGCGAAGCTTGGCGAAACAGATGGTTACTCTACCACCGAATGATTTCGCGCGGTGGGAGAACTGCAGTCATCGAAAGACCTTTCGCGAAATGCTAGTGGTCATTGAGTTTTTGTGTGACGGGAAGTAGCTTTCCTTTCGAACGAGAGGAAGTACAGCAAAAGATATGAATCACATTAGAGAACAAAAGCTATACAAACCAAGGTAAAAGAGATTGGCAAAAGAAATCTACATAGAAGATTCAACACAACGAGCAGTTATGCTGATGCTTGCTTGCAGCTCGCCCAAAACAAATCCTGTCCAGATGAAAGAGCACCAGCGTCTCTTGATGTTGTATCGAATGAGCCATTACATTGGAGCCTTCATGACGGTAAGCATCTGCACGTGCTCCAGAAAAATGCTCCATGGCCCGTCACCAACAAGCAGTGTGTCGCCGTCGGCGTCGGTGTAGGTGAGCTGCCAGGGACATGTGGCACCCGCTGCGGGCTGCCCTGGCTGCTGCAGAGGCAGCTGCAACATGGCTGCACACGTGGCGTACAGCGATTGGAAGCTGCCGATGCCACTCAGATCCACCGTGCGCATCACTGGGCTTCCCTCCACCCGCAGCTGAGGGAGGGGAGCACAGGCAAGCAAGAGAGAAAGAGCACAAGGTGAGGAGTGAGGGGTTGCCATACGTCCATGCATCCATGCATCCATGCATCCATGCATCCATGCATCCACGCATCCATGCATCCATGCATCCATGCATCCATGCATCCATGCATCCATGCATCCACGCATCCATGCATCCATGCATCCATGCATCCATGCATCCATGCATCCATGCATCCATGCATCCACGCATCCATGCATCCACGCATCGACGCACATGCATCCACGCATCCATGCATCCGTGCATCCATGAATCCACGCATCCATGCATCCATGCATCCACGCATCCATGCATCCACGCATCCATGCATCCACGCATCCACATAACCATGCAACCATGCTTCCCCAAGCCTCGATACACTTCAAACTCACATCGCCTCACCTTAATCCGTCGTCTGTTGGCCGCCCGGGATGGCAAGGGAGACAGCTTGCAGGGCGACGCAGGTTGCACGGATGGGGAAGCCGTCTGCCCATCCATGCTCTCCGCCCCCCCTGCTGCCTCGCGCTTGCCACTCGCCGCCCGCTCCTCCATTACAGTGCGTTCCAAGTCACCATTGCTGCTCCTGGGGGTGCCACCGCTTGCAGAGCTGGGAGAGGAGGGCAGCGTGAAGAGACAGCCGGGAGGACCACCCACCCCACCACTCACTTCAGCACCACCAGCAAGAGCACGAGCATCGTCGGACGGGCATGCGGGGTGCATGGCAAGGTCGCTATCAAGCATGTCCGTCCTCTCCGGCCGCTGGGCGTGCAGCAGGCGGGCGACATCCGACTCCGAGTGGCACGCGTGGCGCAGCACAGGGATGTCGAGGCCTGTTGTGCGCCGCCGCTTTAGGATCGGGGAGGAGTGGTACGAGGGGGGCGAGGCGGTCAATGCGGAGAGGCCAAGAGAGAGCGTGAGAGGCACCGTCCCCTCCTCCTGCTGCTCCCTCTTCACCCCGCCCTGCCGGGAGCTGGCAGGGGCATAGGCTGTGAAGCCCCCGGGAGCAGTGAGGGTTCGAGGGAAGGCCGGGCGAGGCGCAACCGGAGATGCACTGCCGGCACCGGCTGTAGCAGCAGTGGCAGGGGTGGCTGTTGTAACCGACTCGCGAGATCCGCTGTACTCCATGGCAGGCTGGGCTTGCGACCAAACCATCGCATCAGTCTTAGCGTGGCCAGGTTCGGAAGGCATGGGCCGCGGAGGGAGGGAGTGGTTAGGAAAAAAGGAGGTGAGGGGGGTGTGAGAGAGAGGGGCAGTGGAGGGGAGGCACAGAGGGGCGGGGCCCCAGCTGCCCCCATCTCCCTGCTGTCCCGCTGCGAGGGGGGTGACAGGGGCAGCAGCAGGGGGAGCAGCAGCAGCAGCAGCAGGGTTGGAGAGAGGTGGTGGCAGGGAGGGCGGGGGGGGGCGCTGGGCGGAGTGTGACAGCAGAGCAGCACTGGCAGAAACGGTGGCGATAGTGGGGACAGAGGCGAAGGTGGTGGAAAGGGGGGCGGAGCCGGAGGAGGCATATAAGGAGGAGCAGGGCTGGGCGAGGGCGCGGGCGTCGTCAAGCAGCCAGGGGGAGAGGCGCGTGGGCTTCACTGCCCCGTCCGTGTCGCCCCACTTGATCTGCACCGAGCGCCAGGGCGAGGAGGGCCACGTGGCAGAAGGCGAGTGGTGCAGCGAGAGCACGGTGCCACGTAGGCGGCGCGTGGCGAGGTCGTCGGTTTCGAGCGTGAGGCGCACCTCGCTGCCCGGCTGTAGCACCGCCTTCACGTGCAGCCCGCGTGTGAAGTCGGGGAGCGGGATGACGAAGGGCGTTGAGGCGCTCACCCTGCCATGGCGGGAGAAGGGGGCAAGGGGACGAGAGGAGTGAGGAGGAGCGAGGTGTGGAAGCTGAATTGCCAAGGTTGAATGCTGACTCGAGAAGCTGACAGCATGGCACAAGCTGACTCATCATTGTTGCAAGCTGACTCACCATGGGTGGAAGGTGACAGAGAAGGCCGTGCGGCGGCTGTAGCTGCGAGCAGCAGTGGCCAGCACAGCATCAGCAGACGCCACCTCCGCCAGGCCTGGGGAGGCTGGGGGGTGCGCCATGGCGGCGGAATCCCCCACATGGTCAACGTCAAGGGAACACCGTTGAGCGTGGCGCGCCTGGCGCTGCGCCTGCAAGGCCGCCATGGCCGCCTCGCTGCGCCGCACTGCCACCTTGAGCGCGCCGTGCCTGTTCCTGAGGGGGTGGAGGAGGGGAAGGGGGGGCGAGGGGGCGGTGAGCTGGGTGATGGTTGCGCTGCATTGTGCTGCGACGCCTGGGAGGCGAAACACACGACAGCTTCGAGGCTCCGAAGAGACAATTGAGCGCACCTGAGGAAGACGATGCGGTCGCCAGCAGCGAGGCCCCACGTGGCGGAGAGCGCGCTCCACCCGGTGGTGAGCAGGTGGCGCTTGGGCGTGCCGCGGTACACGTGGCGGAAGAGCCACTGGTTGCCCAGCACGTCCGTGGCCGTGATGCGCTGCGATGGCACCGACTGCGTCATGTCCTGCACCGCACCGCACCAAGCACCAACGCATACACAGAGAGGAGAGAATTGAGCGCGAGGCGACAGGAGAGTGCGCAGACGGACACAGCACGGAGAGGAGCGGAATCATGAGCGCACGACTGTCAATTTAGACAGCGGAAGGCAGCCCTCACACGGGGGACCGAAGCTTGGGGGAGAATAACTCTGGGCGGCATACCAGGTGGGGGAGGCAGGCCTCAGCGGACTTGCGCGGGATGGAGAATCCGCCGTGCGTGGACGTGTCGCTGGTTGACAGCCGCTTGCAGCTCACGCGGTCCTGCTCCGTGCGCGCGTACAGCACGCGGCTTCCGCTCGCCGCCGCGCCTGCGCGCGCCTGCTCCTCCGCCGCCTCCGCCTGGCAATTGGACGAAAATCGTAGAGGAGAAAGCGGCGGAAAGCGGAAGGAGGGAGGGATTACTACTCGGTAATTGACGAAACAGAACAGCAATTGGAGACGAATTGAACTTGGAACACGAGAATTGAGAATTATCAACGGTGAAGATGGATGTGGGGAAGAGTCGACGACCGGGCGTACCTCCTGGATAGGCTGTAGCTGCATGGTGGCCAGCAGCTCGTGCGTCTCGACGTCAATCTGAAGCACCACGGACTCCAGCCGGCA